GTGAATGAGTGAGTGAGTGAATGAGTGAGTGAGTGGGTGAGTGAGTGAGTGAATGAGTGAGTGAGTGAATGAGTGGGTGAGTGGGTGAATGAGTGAGTGAGTGAGTGAATGAGCGAGTGAATGAGCGAGTGAATGAGCGAGTGAATGAATGAATGAGTGAGGAAGTGAATGAGTGGGTGAATGAGTGAGTGGGTGAATGAGTGAGTGAGTGAATGAGTGAGTGAGTGAGTGAGTGAGTGAGCAGGCGAGCAGGGGAGTCGGGGAGTGAAGGGCAGTCGGCCTCTCCGAGCGCCCCTCTGCTCACCCCTGACCACTGCAGTTTGGGTCGCCTGAGCTTGTGGACTGGGCCTGGCGGGTGGTAGCCCCAGAGAGCCAAGACCTGCATCTCGGCTGGATGAGGCCTGGCGACAGTCAGGTGACAGGCCACTCCTTGGTCGGCCTGCTGCTCTCACCTGGCTCCTTGATCCCAAGGAGCCCCCCAGGTGGGGTGGCGGGCAGGGCTCAGGGGGCCAGCAGCTCCCATCCAGCAGCCTTGGGACCCGCCACCCTGTCCCCCAGAGGGTGGGGCTTCCTCCCTCGGGACCCAGAGCAGACTGGCCTAAAGTGTGTCTGGTGACTCCCCTTCGGGTGCCTGAAAAAGGTGTGCGTTCTTCGAGAGGAAGCCAAAATGTTCCTGGCGCAGCGGGGCCTGGGAACGTTCTGTGGCTTTGTGGCTGGCGAGCGCGGGAGGACTCTGACGTGCTCTCTGTTGCCCCGTAGCTGGTACTCTGAGTGTCGGTACCAGTAGCTGCCTGTCCCTGTCCCAACACCCAAGCCCTACCTCCGCGTTCAGACATCATTACATCCCCTACTTCCGAGGTAAGGCGCGCAGAGCTGCGGCTGTGGCTGCTCGCAGGGTGTCCGGCCCGTGTCTGTGTCTCGCTGTCCTGTGTCTGCCGCATGGCTGCCTGAGCCCCGTGTCTCACGCCCGTGCCCCTCGCTGTGTGTCTCGTGAGTCCAGCTCCGTTTCTGTCGGTGTATAAATGTTCCCGGGAGGAAGACGTAGGGAACTTGTGTCAAGGAGCAGCGGCGAGGAGCGGAGTGAAGAGCTGTGCGGGGAGGAAACTAGGATTCCCCAGCACCGCCCTCAGGCTTTGTTCTGCGAGCCTTTGCCTAAGTCACCCCCTGTCAGCTCTGTGGGGCGTAGGGGCTGCTGCTGAAGTTGTCAGAGGAGAAGCGGAGGCATCGAGAGGGCCAGGACTTGTCCATGGCCTCAGAGGTCATGGTGGCTGGCCCAGGATGCACACCCTGCGTGCTCTGACGCCTCCTCTTCCCAGGGTGCAGACTCGCCCGCCTCCGCATCCCTGCGCGGACATCTGTACATGAATTGCACCAGGAAGTTGGCCGAGCTCCTGTTTTCCTGAATGCTATGGACTGAATTGTGTCCCCCCAAATTCATATGTTGAAGCCCTGTCCCCCAGTGTGGCTGTATTTGTAGAAGGGGTCTTTAGGAGGTTTGTAGGGTTCCATGAAGTCATAAAGGTGGAGCCCTAATCTGACAAGATTGGTGGCCTTATAGGAAGAGGAGAAGACACCAGAAGATCTCTCTCACTCTCTCTGCATGCGCTCAGAGGAAAGGCCACATGAGGACAGAGCGGCTGTCTATGAACCAGGAAGAGGGCTCTCATTAGAAACAGAACCTGCCAGACCTTGATCATGGACCTCCAGCCTCCAGAACTGAGAAAAATAAATGTCTGTTGTTTAAGCCATCCAGTCTGTAGTTCTTTGTTACACAGCACCAGCTGCCTAATACACCACAGAAAGATGCTCAGGCGTGACAGGAAGCAGCGGCAGTGTCCTTGCTGATTCCCTGAGAGATGCGGTAAGTTCCTCGTTCCTTACAGCTGCTGAGTGGAGGATGTCTCAGGAGGAACCTTCTGTCCCGGAGGCACCAGGAGGCGAGGCAAGCTCAGCGGGATTATTCCGCCATTTGATGGTCATCAAACGGGGCTCCTTGGAACTCATGTGGTTCTCGTGTGTCTGTCACCATCACTTGCTTTGCATGAGCCCCATCCGTCTACCGAGAAGAGAGCCCTGGTCGCGGGGGCCACCTGCCACTCCTCTTCATGGACGTGTCCCTACAGCTCATGGTCTCTTCTGGACGCCTGCGAGCATCGTGTGGCCGGAGTGTGCTGTCTCTAGAGGCAGACAAGCCTCCCCATAAACCGGGGCGAATTGGACTATTAGATGAGGCACGCAGGTCCCCCCATGAGGTGCCTCCTCCCTTTGCTCGCTCATCAGAAGGCCCCGCACACATGGCTCTCCTCCCGCCTGACACAGCCCTGCTCTGGGTGGTGCTGGTACACGTGGGGGGCCCCTGGAGGTGTGGCCCAGAGACGACGCCAGGCAGTGGGACACCCGCTGTCTTGGCGCCTCTGGCCTCGCTCCCCAGGCAGCCCTCCGTGAGCTGGGCTGACTGCCTAGGGGCCCCTTTGGCCAAGACCAGTCCAGGTTGGGGCCTGGGGTCAGAGCAGACCCTGTGACCCACTCCTCCTCTGCCACTTCTGAGTCTCTACCCTCGAGTTCTTACCACTCCAGGGTGAGGAAAGGCCAGGACGGGACCTCAGCCAAGGGCAGGACCCCTGGGAGGCAGCCCCAGGCCTGCGGTGCCCCATCCTCAGCCACAAGAGAGAGGGCCGGGGGGAGGCCGGGGAAGGCAGCTCCACTATTCTTGGGCGGTAGCAGCGTGGCCCTTCTTTCCCTCCCGTAGGGAGGAGACAGTGCAGACAGGCCCCACCCCACTGCCCACCAAAACATGGTTTAGAAACCGTCTGTGTCGGAGCCTGTCAACGCATCCCCCGAAGTCAGGGGGCACGGTGCCGTGTGGTCTGCTCCAGGTGGGCACGGGCACCGGGCCTGTGGTGGGTCCAGCTGCCTTTGATGCTGATCTCTGCCCCGGTTCCCTCCAGGCCACTTTGGCCACCAGTTCCCTTTGTTCAGAAATCAGACAGAGCCCCTGCCTTCTTCTCTGGTATAGGATACCAGGGAGCCCGGCACCCAAGGCTCTGCCCCCCCGCCAACTTCCAGGGCTGTCCGTGACCTCAGGAGCACCCAGCATCTTTCCAGAACTCACCCCAGAGGAGCCCGGGGCCCAGGGAGCCCACGGGAGATCCCATGGCTCTGCGGGCCAGTGCCCAGAGTCCGGCCTTTGTCCACGAGTCACGTCCACCCACGGGTCCTGGGTCCACTGAGGCCACACCAAGGGAGCCCATCCTCTCCTCCTCGGCACCTCTCTTTCAGCTCCATGGGCTCCAGTCCATCCCAGCCTGTGGTCACTTTGGTGGGCCAGCTGTGCCAAGGGCCACCTGCCTTCCTCTCCGCTGGTCACGGTGCCTGGCGTCCACCACACTCTCAGGAAGTCTTTGCTGCTCTCTCCTCACGGCACCTTTAGCATCTTTGGCTCCCCTGGGTGGAGATTTTCCTTTGAACGACGCTGTGGGTGGAGGGCTCTTCAAGGAGAGGCGTGTCCTCACTCCAGCCAGCACTCGCCCTGACCTGGCTGGGTGCTGACAGGGGTCCCTTACTTTCCTTCTTTCCTCCCACCTTTCTCACACACCTTCCCACCATTTCTCAGTGTCCAGGGCCACCCTCCTGCCAAGACTTGCATGCAGCCTAGGTCTAGGGGCAGTCATTTGCACTTTAGTATGATTTTCAGTCCCCAGTGTATCTCCTGGGGCAGAGGAAGGTGTAAGCCTGGCCTCTCAGCTGTGAAGGAGCAGGCGGCTAGGACAGGCTGGTGTGCGGGGCCGAGGGGAGGCGGTGCTGCTGAGGCCACTGCGCTGGGCAGCCACAGTTTGCTGACTGGCGAGCCTCCCCCAGCACGGTGTGGGGGATGGGGTGGGCACAAGGGGCGGAGCCTCAGGTCGCGGCCGCTTCGTCACCCGTGCACCGTGCCCCACAGGCACCTCTTCATCTGGCGCTAACCCCGGGGCCGTCAGCCTTCCTGGATGGTTGTGGTCCACGCCTCAGATGGCGTGCGAGTTGCACAACGTGAAAACCTGCACGTGTCTTGGTCGTTGTCCTAACAGGCCCTTGCACACGGCTGGGAGCTGGCCTTGCCTCTGGTCACCTTGAGAAGATTCAACAGGAGCCAGCTCAGAGAGCTCCTGAGGGCCAAAGCCAGAGCAATTGAACGGCAAAACGAATAACGTGGTGTTGGATTGTGAGCCAAAGTATAAAGCAAATGTCCACACATCCACACTGAAGTAAATCAATGACTGAGCAAATGAACAAATCGGGGAGAAGAGACAAACCTCCGGTGCAGAGGAATTCCCAATATGTATGTGGACCCCGCCCTCCAGGAAGGGAGCCCCCTCCCCACTCCTCAGGGGCGGGCTGTGCGTGCAGACCTCCACCCAGAGGACGTGTGGGAGGGGGAAGAGAGAGGAACCTTACCGTGGAGACACCCCGCCAGCATGACCTTGGCCAGGGGTCAAGGTCAACGTCCAGTGAGAGGTCACGTGGACAGCAGGCACCCTTGACGTGATGGGGGAGAAGACATTCACCTCTGTGGTCTTCCTCCCAAGGACCATAACCTCAGTCTACTCACGAGAAAAACATCAGACCCGCCCCAACTGAGAGGCATCCTACAAAATACCCGACCAGGGTTCCTCATAAAATGCCAAAGTCATGAACAACTAGGAGAGGCTGAGAATCTGTCCCAGCCCCGAGGAGCCCAAGAGACGTGACGACTGAGTGTCACGTGGTGTCCTGGATGGGAGCTGGGGACAGAAAAAGGCATTAGGTAGAGACTAAAGAAATCTGAACAGGGGCCGGCCCGGTGGAACAGCAATTAAGTTCGAGCGTTCCTCTTTGGTGGCCTGGGGTTCGCTGGTTTGGATCCTGGGCACGGACCTACTCACCACTCATCAAGCCATGCTGCAGCGGCATCCCCCATAGAAGAGCTACAACTATGGTACACAACTGTACCATACCCTCAGTCTACTCACGAGAAAAACATCAGACCCGCCCCAACTGAGAGGCATCCTACAAAATACCCGACCAGGGTTCCTCATAAAATGCCAAGTGTACGGGGGCTTTGGGGAGAAAAAAAGGGAAAAAAAAAAGAGGAAGATTGGCAACAGATGTTAGCGCAAGGCCAATCTTCCTCAAAGAAAAAGAAAGAAAAAAAAGAAATCTGAATAAAGTGTGGTGTTTGGGTAATATTACCGTGGCGACGCACCGTGGTAACAGTAGGGGAGGCCGGGTGGGGGTAGGCAGCAACTCTCTGTACTGCCTAAAACTGCTCTGAAATAAGTCATTTACTTATACTAAAAGAAGAAGGTGGCTTTTCAAAGGGCAGGTTTCCCGACCACTAACAGGCACCCTCCAGGGCGTCTTTGCCTTCTCACTGAAAGATGCTGGAGACCCCTCCCGAGCAGAGGTCAGAAGCCGCCTCGGTCCTGAACCAGCTCCAGGAGAAGCCACAAGCCTCATCAGAAGGGACTTCTTTGCCTTTTCAAAGTCACCGCACAGCCAGGCTCTACCCTGGTTTTCTCACATCCACAGTGACGTCAGAGTTTTACTACTAAGGCCCATGGAAGAGGCTGGCCCCTAGAGCAGTGACCAGCAGCTCGAAGGTTGCACAGTGACCCGGCCGGAGGGGGCCCTCACGAGGACGCTGGCCCCGAGCCCTCCCAGCCCTGTCCCTCCTGCAGATGGGGACCACGGTGGTGCGTGCCCCACAGGGCTGTCGTGGGCATTCCGTGAGCTGGTGCGGGCAGAGCGCTCCCCGTGGCCTCGCAGGGGGTCGATGTCAGTGGCACATTGTATTGTGATGAGGCGACACAGTGACCGGGTGCGGCGTGAGTCCAGGGGAGAGAATGGTCAGCGGTGGGCTGTGTCCTCCAGGAAGGCTTCGCACCTGAGCCTTGACCTGGGGAGGGTCTGGACGAGTGGGGAGGATTGGAAAGGGGGTTCCAGACAGGGATGGCAGGAGGAGGGGAGGCCGGGAGGAGGGGGTGAGACCAAGATGGCAGAGTTCGGTGACTGCTGTGGAGGCCCCTGGATGGCAGGAGTGAGGTGGGCATGATGGGCCACCACATCTGTGACCCCAGCTGCCTCTGGGTCTCGGGCCCCCTGAGCACCTGATGAAAGCCCCTCAGATAAATGCGCACATGCACACACAGAATCTTGCCTGTGGTGTAGGAGGACATGGCACTGTAGGCTTGGGGACCAGCGGGGAGAGGAGTCTTGTGATATGTTCGAGTCTGCAGCCCCCTGGGCAGGAGCTGGGTGGATGAGGGGCCGTGAATTCTAGGCAGAGAAAAAGGAGCCGTTTGAGGCCTCCTGGATTCCACAGGTCGGGCCCTAAGTGAGCGGTCCTCAGCTGTCCCGGGGTCCATGCAGAGGAAGTTTCCAAAGGCCCTGCTTCCAGCACGTGCTGCTGCCTCTGGGGATGGATGAGTCCCAGCCACAGTCGGTAGAAGGGATCGTGGCTTCCTTTACGGGAACGGGGGTGTGGTCTCCCCGGGGCTTGGGAACGGCCCAAGGCCCCTACTCCCCAGGGAGGTACAGGCGTCTGGACTGGGGTGAAGCTGCGCTCCGGAAGGCTCTATGCTGCGCTGGAGGGGGCTGTTACGGGAAAAGCAGGATTCACGTGATGAGGAGGGGACAGTCATTCCCCGAAGTTCTGTCAGCGCCACCAGGTGCAACTGGCGCCCAGGCACAGGAAGATGCTTGAAGCTGTGGTCAGCAGCTCCCCTTGTGGCCTCTGCCCCGTTTGGGCTGCTGATTGTGGTCTGCTCTTGCTGAACCCACCCTGCCTCGCATGCCCCCTGGTCCCCCAGCGCACCCCACCCAGGCAACAGCTCTCTCTGAGCCTGTGTCTGCCGCACCTTCCTCATTAGCCCACCTCGCAGTCCCTGGCCGGTCCCCCTCCAGGCCCGGCACGGTGCTGCCCTCTGGGGAAGTGCTGTTTCATCACCATGTCGCCTCGGGGTCCTGCGGCTCTGAACAGCTGCAACTTGAAGGCAGTATTGTCCAGTCCGGGGTGCCCCTTTCCCTGCCAAGCTGTCCTCTAATGCGGCAGAGGGTTTCCTGAGGCTGATGGGAGAGGACATGGGTTGTGCCTTATGAGTGTCTTACCTCATCATCCAAAGTGTCCACGGCCCATTGCATTCTGTCGATCACAGCATTCCTAAAGAGGTCAGTGTAGGGCGGGAGGGCCACCCGGGCAACTCCAGCTATCTAAATTTGTGACTTGATAATCCAACCTCATTAATGAAACAGAAATTACAAATCCAGATGGGATAAGAAATTGGAGCCAGAATCAGAGGATTCTTTCCATTTAATTCTGGAAAAAACAGCTTTATTTAGGAATGTGACAGCTGATTAATACTAGCTTTCTCTTATTCTCCTATAGCTAGTAGAATTTTATTCAGTGGATTTTAAGGACAGATTTCAATGAATTCTAGCTCTTTAATCCTATTCTAAATGACTAATTTGTAGATTCTCCAAGAAAGCAGCATCTTTTTATACAAGGGTACTGAGGAAGGGAGGCCTTAGCTTTGGTGAATTTGTGACTTGCTGGATTCAAACACCAGCCACAGCAGAGCAGCAGACGAGCTATTTGCCCCAAGGAGAGTGGGGCTCTGCCCCGACGGCCAGGTCAACCTTCCTGTGAATGAGGAACCAATAAGGTCTTTGCCCTCGGTGCCACCGTTCCTTTGCCACGTTAGAAGGGGTTGACTGGAGGTTGGATTAACAAGCCATTGGGCCCGGTCTGGAAATGTTGGTGCAGGCCACACTCCCTTCCCCGGGCAGAGGGTTTGGGCGGCTCGCAGGCAGGGAAGATGGGGCTTACTGCGAATTAGCTTTCATGCTTGAAATACTCTGCTTCTCCCTCTCCCTCCTTCTACCTGCTGTCTTTGCTTTTCCGTCTGGAGGCAGCGAAAGTGGCCGGAGCACCCCCAGCCTCTCGGTGCTCTCAGACAGCAAGCCTCCCCCCTCCACCTACCAGCAGGCTCCTCGCCACTTCCACGTCCCAGGTAGGCTCCCAGGACGCGCCAGGCGGTCGGGCTCGCCACGCAGACCGTCTGTTCCCACATGAGTTGTTGTGTGAGCCCCAAGCTTCTCCATTCCCCCCTGCCAAATTCTGAGACTCCTTAAAAATCAGCAAGTGGGTTTGCACATCCCCAAATTGGTGTGTGTTTGAGTTTCTCCCAAAGCCCCACAAACACCAGGGAGCCAGTTTTGCCCTCCTGGGAATGGGCTGGAGAGAAGGGGCTGTCTGGGCAGTTGTCTCTGGCCCCCGCTCCGGCCGCCTCTCTCCCTCTGCCCACTGCAAGCTGGGGGTGCTGTCCTGGCTGAGTGAGGCTTGATGGGAGGTGTGGGGCCTGTGGGTGCCAGAGCCTGTATGGTGACTCTCTCTCTGGGTGGTGCCTGCTGCTGACGGTGGAAACCATCACAATGTGCTGTTCACCCTGCTCTTCTCTCCTGTTTCTTTCTTCTTCCCCAGACACGGGCGTAAAAGATAACATCTATAGGAAACCCCCCATCTACAAACAGCATGGTACAGTCGGATTTCCTCTGCCACTGCGTTTCCCTGCATGCCTGTCAATACCGTTTGCTTCTGAGTGCTTCCTTTGGTTGTGTTCTGATACAGAGGCCGCAGCCTGAAGGTTAAATGCAAATTCACCAGCAGGTTCCCAGAGGCCTCTTCATGAATCACAGTGATGAGTGAGGACGCCACTGGGCGTTATACACCCGAGGCTAACAGATCCTCCGGGCTTGGGATGGGAGTTTATGACCCCTAGCTGCTCTCCGTGGCTTTGATGATGCCGCTTTGAGGGAAGCAGCCAGACTGACTTCAGCCAAGATGCTGAGGGACGGAGGGACCACAACCGACCCAGACTGATCTTTGGAAAGCAGAACAAACCAGAATCAGTCATTTATTCCTCTGTGAGAATTTAAATCCTGTGTTTTGAGAATTTCTGACGACAGAATGAATGACCTAGGCTTCAGTTTAAGGGATTTCTTGCATCAGCAAATAGTGATGTCTAGTGTCCTGGGTGTCTCACGGCCCCCTAGTTTCCCTCTCAGAGGTGACCACCCACCTCCGTTCCACCTGAGCCTGCGAGGAACAGGTGCACAGGGAGCAGATGGCGGGGCAATGGAACCAGAAGCAGAAGGCTCCAGGGCTCCCCTCAGTCTCTTCATGGAATTTCTAAGGGGATTTGGGGCATGTTGCTTCACCATCCTGAGCCTCTGTTTCCTCAAATGCAAAATAGGACCAGTCCCTCCACCCTGCCCTTTTCACGGGCTGGTTGTGAGGATCGGATGGGATAATGAATGTGGAAACACATTCTAAACTGTAGAGTGCTGTGCACATGGTGAGGATTGTTATCAAGTCACTAGAGAGATGGGAAGAGGGATTTCCGTATTTAAAGTTCTTGTTCAGATGCACCCAAAGAAAACAGGCACTACCATGTTGACAGCTGGATGGACACCTTTAGGTGGAACCTATAAAAGTATGCTTTCTGTGGCTTACTGACAAATCAGTGGTCTAGTTACGCAAAAACACAGTTTTTAAAAATTTTCTCCTTGATTACAATAAGCCCTGTGCTTTGTGTATTTCTTCCTCTTCTCAAGAAAGAAAAAAAATGAATTAAAACTCTTGGGTTTCCAGAAGGCCCTGACTTTTACCATTGCCTCTCAACCGGAGAAGCTTAGAGCACAGATCTTCTGGAGGCATGGACTAGTTAGACTCCAGGCCCTTAGAGATTGTCCAGACCAGCTCCCTCCTGTTGCAAGTGGGGAAACTGAGGCCAGCTAAAGGAAGGAGCAGTCACGTTAAGTGTTGTCTTTCCATCATGGCACCCGCGTTCAAGCCCATGCAGAGGCCGTGTGTTCTGTGCTCATCCTGCGAGTGGGGTTGACCAATGTGGCCTTTTATTAACCTCAGACATATAATTTACACACACAGCGTAGGAGGGGTCGGCCTCTTATGGAGGGCCGTAAATCAGATGGTGAAATTGCTCACCAGCCTCTGAGCCAGCCAGACCTAAGAGCAGGAGCTTCCGACATTAAGTCCTTTAACTGAACTGTCCAGCGGAGAGATTCGGTGTTAGTGTTACCCATGTTAGTCTTGTGATGGTTTTCATTTTAATCTGGATATAAAGACCTCTCATATCCAAACACAAGTGAATTCGTATTTGACTGAACCCTGAGCAGTGACCCAAATCCTTTTATCAGAATTCTGCCCATAATTTTGGCATATTGATTTTTTTATAAAATGAATTTTATAGAGTGCCTACTCTCTGCCAAGCATTCAGCCACATTGTGGGGATAAACATGAATAAAGTCCATCCCTACGTAAACATAAATGGGTCGTGAATTGAGGGTTTAGCTTCCAATGTGTACTCTTCCTAATCAGGTTTCCTTAGGTGATCCCCAGAAAATAATGGAGGTATTAGAGTGCATTTGGTTTCCAATATGTTTGAGATGTTTTGTTTTTACAAGATTTCCCCCATCCACGTAGAATATATCCTGTTGTGTGTGTGTGTGTGAGCATGCGTGTGTGCATGCATTGTGTGAGCATGCACGTGTATGCATGCATTGTGTGAGCATGCATGTGTGTGCACGTGTGTGAGCATGCATGTGCGTGCGTGTGTGTGAGCGTGCATGTGTGTGCATGCATGTGTGTGAGCATGCTTGTATGTGTGCATGCATGTGTGTGCACGTGTGTGAGCGTGCATGTGTGTGCGTGTGTGTGAGCGTGCATGTGTGTGCATGCATGTGTGTGAGCATGCTTGTATGTGTGCACGTGTGTGAGCGTGCATGTGTGTGTGTTAAAGCCCACATGCAGCACCCCCCACGTCAGCAAATTGACCATCCAGTCATCTCTTGGGGAGAGAGGAACACAGCTCAGACTTGAGAAGCCATCGGTTTAATCTCCAAACTTTCCTGAAACAAACTCTGGGTGGTGACGTTGCGTTACTGGACCACTTAATTAGTTTAAGATAATATATTCAACAAGTTAAAAAATTATGCTGTTTAATTAATGTATTTACGTTTCAGCTCTCTATTACCAACTCATTGAAAGTTTTTTTTGTTTTTTTTTAATTAGCATCCCTCTTTTCTGATGCTTGAGTCCCATTCCTGTTTTTGGGAAACGAGCCTCCAGCGTGAGGGAGGCCAGGCGCGCAGGACCCGGGGTGGAGACACTGTGCCGAGAGGAGGGTGATTAGCGTTAGATAGCTGCCCTCAAAGCCATCGCTGCTGGGTGCTGGCTGCTCCGTAAATGATGGCCCTTTTCATCTCGCCGCCTCGACACCGCTGGGGCTGGCATTATTATAGACAAGGAAACTAAGACTGGGGCTGCAAAGTGACCGGTCAATGGCCAAGCTGGCGTTCACACCCAGGTCTGCCTGACCCCTGACCCTTGCCCCTACTGCCTTCGTTTTCCAGCGTGTAGGGCTCAATAGTATTTTCTTACATTAGAACTACATTAGTTCCAACTCTACTTGAGTATGATTTAATGGCTTTTTTTAAAAGAATAAGAAAGAGAAGAAAGGAAGCAAGAGGAAACGTGTAGAAAAGGAAGAGCCTGTCCCCTGCGGAGTCAGGCGCAGACGTGGGGCAGGATCAGCTGCAGGACAGGCTGGGAGGGCGGGGCGGGCACAGGGGCCTCCGCAGCCCGCGGACTCCAAGTTCAGATGGTGCTGGGCACGTTTTTGGAGTTTTCCTGAGCCATCCTGCGTCACTCACTCGCAGAGTTAAACGAACCCGGTTACCTTTCTGAGGCAGACACGACCCACACCACAGCCGCTCGACGCCCACTACGGTGCCGGCAAACCCTTCCCCTCTCGGGGCCTGTGTCCTCCTCGGGGGCGTGGGGTTCGAGGGAGTTGAAGTGAGGCCTCGCTGATGCTGGGCCCGGGCAGGAGCCGTCTGGCGTGGATCCTCTCCGTGCGGGGAAGCTGGGCCCGGTTTTTAGACTGTTTAAAATGAATTCAAGAGAAAAAAATAATGCCACCCCTGAAATGTCCCAAGAAGTTGACCAGATGCAGGGACAGAGCTCACTTTTCACCAAATGTTCCATTTCATTAGTGAGCACATGTGAGCCCTCAGCTGGCGATGTGAGGGAAGACTGGGCCCAGGAGCAGGGGACGGTCTCGTCACCTCCTGCACCTCCACTGCCCCCGGACGAGGGGCCACCCACTCCCGCCCTCCCACCCCCTCAGAGCCGCCCGCCCCAACCAGACGGTAGAAGTGACCCCGGGTGGCACTCGGTGTTTGCTATTTCTTTGGTCCCCGAGGGCCTGTGAGCCCAGGCCCTGCTCTTTCCTCTGGGGTCATTTTCAGTCGGGATGTAACAAGTGAGCCGTGTTGTTCTCCCGGCTTGTTAGGTCAGGAAGCCAGGTATTGAGGGTCCAGTGCCTTTGTTAGCTCATCCAGGACTGTTTTCTGGGGCACCCGCTATGTCCCAGTGCTGAGGATGCACGGATGCCCAAACAGCCTTGACCCCGTGGAGGGGACGTGCTAGTGGACTTGACCGTGGTCAGATAGTTAGTGAGAGGCTGGGCACCGGGTTTCCAGCCTCCAGGGCCCGTGTTCTCAATACCACTCACAGTTACACACACACTCACCCACATACCTACATTCACTCTCGCACATACACACTCACAGTCTGACACTCACATACACTCTTACACACTCTCACACTCTTTTATACTCACACACTCTCTCTACACTCACAGCCATTCACACACCACACACATACACTCATACACACACTTATGTTCAAACTCACACACTCTCACACACACATACACACTCACATCGCCTCTGTCTCTCCAGATATAATTCCAATACGATTTGAATTGTCGAGATGGGTCTCTTAGTCCGCTCGGGCAGCTATAACAGATCACCGCAGGCTGGGTGGCTTATAAACAACAGACATTTATTTCTCCCAGTTCTGGAGGCGGGAAGTCTGAGATCAGGGTGCCAGCCTGGCGGGTTCTGGTGAGAGCTCCCTGGGGTTGCAGACGGCCGTCCTCTCTGTGTCCTCACGTGGTGGAGAGAGTGAGAGCTCTCCGAGGTCCCTGTTATAGGGACACGAGTCCCATCGCGGGGCCCCACCTTCGTGACTTCATCACCTCCCAGAGGCTCCCTCTCCTAACACCCTCACATTGGGGAGTGGGGTTTCAACATCTGAATTTGGGGGCACAAAAACATTCAGTCCATTGCCGGCCTTCTCCTGAGAAGAATAAGAAAAATGGGGCTTCTAAGGAGTAGTAGGCAAATCTGGAGGGTAAAGGAGGGAAAGCCCCCAACGCCCTGTGAGAACCGTCCAGAGCTCCTGAAAGACAGGGGCGTGCTGGGGTCTTTTCTGCACCCCCCGTACAGTATCCGTGCACACTAGGCACCCAGTGAAGGGAGATGGGAAAGGTTGAAAGGCTAAGCAGAGAATGGAGAGTAGAAGAGGCAGAGATAGATGGATAAAGGTGCATGGATGAGTGGACATGAATGGACAAAGGGAGAGATGAATGGATGGGTATGTAAGTGCATGGGTGGATAACTGGATGGATGAATAGCATGACAAGTGGATGGATGAGTAGAGGGACGGGTGGGTGGGTGGATTGTTAAAGGAGTGAGCAGATGGATGGGTAGTTGCAGGGGTGGATGAATAAGTGGATGGAAGTGGATAAGTGGGTGAAGGGACGCACACATGCAGGCATGTATGTTCAGATAGGAATGATTATAAGACGGGGTATGGGAAGGAGGGAAGGCAGGCTGGCTCTGTATCTAGGAAGAAAATTGGAGATCTCCCACTCTCATTAAGATGCTTCCAGCAAAGCTTCCCTGAGAGACAGAGGAGCAGGACGTCGGCCTTTCCCAAGGGGATTCCTCATGGCAAATACATTCCAGGGCTCAAAGGGGACCAGCTATGTGATAGGAAAGACACACTAACCTCAGTTTCTCTGGTTGTCATGAACTGATCAGTCTTTTCCTGACACTCTGAAACAGCATGTTACAAATTAGCCTCGAAGTTAGCATCATGTTTGTTGCTAATATTTCAAACCTATCAGCTGAGCGCCCCATTGTGTTACACCATCCACGTGTTGTCTCATGTGATCCTCATAACTTGGAGGGGGGGGGTGGGCGTCATTTGCCCATTTTACAGATCAGGAAACTGAGGCTCAGAGCTGTTAAGGAAGCAGGCCACAAATAATACACAGTGCCAGAGTCCTGTGTTTTCCTACCTGTGCTTCCATTCCTCAAGAGAATCCCCTCTGTGTTTCACGGGCTGGCAAACTTGGGCTCAGAAAAGCCCTTGGTTTGAGTCCGGTAAAGCTAGGCACGCCTGGTGGAGCTGGTGGCATTTGCAGAGGAACCTCGCTCAGTCTTGGTGGAATCTCCCCATTGTCAGACAGTGGGGCTGTTTTCTGAGCCCTGAGCTAGCTCTACAGCCATGATGCATCTGACCTACCTGCCATCCATGGCTGTGTGAAGTCCTCGAACCTGGGGCGGCCTCTGGGCCCCTTGGCCTGAACTCCAAAGGCTGGGATTTCACATCCCAAAAAGCCTTTGGTTCGAACCACTGCATTGTTTTTGCTCTTGCAAAGCACCCCGAGTGTGGCTCCATCTGGGGCCCCTGAGGGCTGTTCGGGGGTGCGGCTCCCTTGCTCTCCCCAGCAGGCCCAGCCCTGGAGGCCTGCTCTGGGTTGGACAATGGCGGTGCTCTTAGAGCTCCAAGCAGCCGCTGGCCTGACTGACCCTCGGGCTTGCTGGGCGGCCACCAAGACTCACAGCTGACGTGTGGCCAGACACTCCAGGGCTCTGCTGCCCGCGACAGCCATTGTCTGGGCAGCAGGAAAGCCCACGCTGATGGGCACGCGTCCGCTTCTGTGCTCCCTGCCCCTCTGCCCCCTCCATCCCCGCGCTCCTCACGCAGGCTCCTCCGTACTTTGCCTCTGCCAGTGGAGAGAGCATGGCTTTGATTTTCACGTTGAAAATCACTGCCTCTCCTGGAAGGAGAAGCAGGTAGCCATTGGGAGGGGCGAAATGTCGGTGTACCCAGAACCGTCTTCGACTGTGGCCTTATCTTGTCAAGGTCCCGTAGCCCGGTCCCCAATTTCCAAGCTCTCGGGCCTGATGTCAGTCTTGTCCTTGGTCGTGCACGAGGCAGGGCACTCCAAAAGGCTAGAAGGTCCGAGCCCTCCGCAGGCTGCAGGTAAGGAGCCCACCCTCAGCATATCCTTCCTACGACCTCGGTCTCTGTGGCCGGTGGGAAGGACACTGGGGGTCTTCCTTTAATTGTCCCGTGCGTGGGGTCAGTGTGTTGGTACAGGATGCACAGGACGGGTGTTTACGTATTGAATTGGGGCTGAGAACTGTCAGCGTGCCCTTCTGTGATTTATTTGATCATACTTGCTTGGGGATAATGTCAGCCCAGCTGGGTGACAGCCCCCCAAAAAAGGCCAATGGAGGATATAGACACCTCATTGCTCAGCTCCAGGTAGTATCCTTGGTAAAGGAACTTTTGCTCTATTGCACTGAGTTCATCACTGGTTGTGTGTTGTACCCTCTTTGCTGCTCTTCGTGGACCTTCTCCAGTGGCGTAACTCACCCATCATTTTGTGTTTTGCTGTGGCAGCAGTGAGGCGGGCAGACGGGGACAGGACTTTGGAGCCAGACCACCTGGGTTCAAATGTTAGCCTCTGCCACCCACTAATCCACGATCTTGAGCAAGGCACGTCTTCTCTCTGAGCCTCAGTCTCCTGATCTGTGAAGTGGGTTGTGTGGGGATAAGCAGTGATATCGTGAAGCACCCAGCTGAGTCTGACACAGCAGGGGCTGGATGGCTGAGACCTTCTCTTCCTTTAAAGCTAAACTTGGGAGGTAGAAAGTGTGTTCTTCAAAATGCCCGTGGCTGCGTCTGAACACATGACTCGATCTCTCTGGGTGGAGGGTTGGCCGGAATTTTAATCAGGCCTCCCTTCACAGCCCTGCTCTTGATTTTAAGCACTGTCACGTGCAAAGGTACACAGCCACTCCCCAGGCAGTGCTCCTGTGGCAGCCTCCTCCGGCTGGTCTTGTGCCTCAGCCCTTAAAAGGCACTCTACTGGTGACCTTGTCTTTGATGCTTTTCCATTTTTGAGCATAACTGTAAAGTGGGAGCTATGACATGGAAACCCAGAATAAATGGTGTGTTGCCTTGACAAACTGATTTTTCCCTTCCAGCCGCGAGGCGATCGGATGGCGAGGATGGAAGTTTTGACCAGGATAACAGGAAGGTAACGCAGGGGCAGATCTGGTTTAGAACAGCCTTGGCCAGAAAGACATCTGGTTTCGTGGGGACTTCCCCGATTTGAACCTCAGGCTGCTGCTGTTAGGTTCTGCTCCTTAGGGGTCCAGGGAGGCCACATGGAACAATAACTGAGTTTATGAGATGGTTCCACCAGCCTTCTCCTCACATTCAGGACTAGCACACCTACTACTGAAGTCCTCGTGGTATGCCTGGGTCATTGGCTGTGTTCTATAACTGAGGACGTGTCTAAAAAGAAAGGAAAGTAAATCAAAGTGTGTTCTCGGGGCATCTGGGACGAGTGTTCTAGAACAGGCTTGGTACACACTTTCTGTAAAGGGCCAGAGAGTAAATATTGTAGCTTTGGGGGCCATACCGTCTCTGGTGCAGCTGCTGCACTCTGAAAGCAGCCAGAGACAATGCACGGAGGAAGGGGTGTGGCTGTGTGCCAACAACACTTTAATTGTGAAAGCAGGCCGCGGGTAGGATTTGGCCTTCAGTCTGGGTTTGCCCGCCCTGGCTGGAGAGCTAAGACCCCTTTGCTTATCTTTAAGGAAGGTGGGTGTGTGTGGAAAGAGCCCAAGGCTGGCTCACCTGGCTCTCCCCATGTGAAGCCATTTGGGCCCCTGACCTCCCTGAGCCTCAGTCTCCTCATCTGTAAAATAGGGTAATGCCATTTCCCCCAAATGCTTCAGGTGCCTGTGAAGCATCTGGGCAGTTCACACTAAACGGTGAGATTTTTCTTGAAAGCTGGATTTTTCTCATATTAAAGTTTCTCATGGTGGGATCAGCTTGTAGCTTAGAATTAAAGAAGCTACTGGAAGGTTCTGGTGAGATGTTTCCACCATTGCAGATGACCTCGAAATTCACATTTTTTTCTTTCTCTCAGCAGAAGACCAGCTGGCTGATTCTCAAGGGGGATGCGGACACCAGGACTAACTCTCCAGACCTAGACAGCCAGTCCTTGTCCCACAGCAGCGGGCCCGATAGAGACCCTCTCCAAACAACACAAGGGGACAGCTTTTACTCACGTGAGTGGTTCTTTTGAGCAAGGAGCTGTATACGTGGCACAGAAGGCCTCGAAGCAAAGGGGCCCCACCACTGCAAGCTGATCCCCCAGATCTAGGCTTGCTCGCTACAAAACAGAAGACAAACCAGGTAGGAGGGAGGCCCCTTTTTGCTCATTTCCCTTGGACTGACGCTCATTAGCTAGTGTGCTGCCTGTGGGCCGCGCCAGTGTGTCTCCAGAACTCACCAGAGCTGGCGAGAGGGCAGAAACCCAATTCTGGCTCCTGAGGTCTTGGAAAAAGGGCTTCCCAGGCTGCTAGGCTGGAAGTTAAGGGCCCGTCTCCCTCCAGAGCAGACGTGAGCATGGTCCAGGCGGGGGAGTCCAGACTCGGAGTCGATAACGGCGTTGTCCCATCTCCCGTGCTCGTCCTGAGCGAGGAACCCGGGGGCTGGGACTCTATATCCTCAGGGAGTCTGGGAGACAAGTGACATCTGCCTGACTCTGGGGGGTCATGGAGCCTGAATTGGGAGTGATCCTCAGATGTGGGGCAAAACTCCAGATAAGGTTCTTCCTTTCCAGAGGCTGTAGATTATAGGAGAAAAGAGCAGCAAGCTGCAGTCTGCTGCCCTCAGCAGGTCCCGGGCGTAGGCGCTGGGTCGCGGCAGGCTGTGGGTAGTTTTCTGTGGGCAAGCTTGACGCTAAGCTTGGAAGCAGAGGCCAAGAGGGGAAGGGTGTGGGCGTGAGAAAGCAGGGGAAAGATGCTGGCTTTGCTGTGAGACAGACCCAAGTTCAAATCTGGGCTCACCACTCACCGGCCGAGTGGCTGGGGGCAGTTCCGCCTGTCGCTGGGCCTCGGATCCACCCGTCTGCCTGGCCAGGTTGTTAGAGACTCGGAGGAGGTGACACGTGTACGCAGCCAGTGCTCTGCCTGCCCATAGTAGGTGCTCAGCTGACAGACTATCATCGTCATCACCATCCTCATGACTGTAAACTGTAAACTGCCTCACAGATGGAAGGTGAACGTGTTCCATTGTGCGAGGAAAGAGTGAAGAAGTTGGAAATTGTCACTTGTTAAAGGAGAACTCTAAACAAAGCAAAGGTGTATTGTCCTGTGTGTGATCTCTGTAAGCAGGTGTCTGTACCCCGCCCCCCCCCGAGGTGCAGCTCTCTAATGTTGGGATCTCTGTGCTGATGTCACCATGGGAAGGCCACACCAAAAAAGTCCCCCAGAGGGACTCGTCTAAGATGGCAGCGTGCTCCTTCTGGAGTCGATCTGGAAGGGATGCGGCAGGCTGCCCGTCCCCCCGCAGGCAGGGTGAGGGTACAGGACTGGTCACAGAACCATGGGCAGACTCTGACCAGGCAGCGGCAGCCGGTCCTCCAGCCCCTCTCTGCTCCCAGGCACCCCCTGCCCCCGGCGGCGCAGGAAGGACTTGCATGTGGGCCCGGGGCCGTTGGCCTGGACCATGGGCCTCACTGCTTTGTGGTCCCTTTTTCCTATGGGCAGTCGTGTTTGGAAGGCGGTGAACTCCTGTCGCACAGCTCAAGAGCAGCCCAGCAGCCCTCCCACACTTTGGGAGCAGCAAGGCAGTAGCCCCAAGGCCCAAAAGCTCTCAGGAAATAGTGTCTGGGGATCTCAGGGTGGTCTTTTCCAGCTTTCAGTCCTTCCCTTGCTGCGTGGTGGGCGGGCCTTCCTCTGCAAGTCTGCTGCCAGGCCCATCACCTGCCCCGACTCTGCTCAGGGGAGGCCAGCAGCTGCCCCGGGATTCCTGCTTATGTTCACGGCCAGCCTGTGGCTCGGGGCTGAGGGAGGAGGAGGCACGTGTGGGCAGAAGCCCGGGCAGGAGGTGGGCCACCCCACGGGAACCTCCCGGTGCCACCAACCTGCGTGTGACCTGTGCTGCTCTCTCTCACCTGTGTGCGCGGCTTCCTCATCTGCAAATGCCAGAATGAGGTGCCCTGGGGTCGTCCCCCGTGTGGCGCGGGTGGTAGACCCTGCAGGGCCCGGAGGCTGTGCCTGCTGTTTTGATGGACCAATCGCACGCCTGCGAGGGCTTGTGTGTCAACTCCACCCCTTGCTGTCGCGTTCCCATCACAAGCTGCACAGGCAGCTGCAGATGGGGACGCAGCCGCTTCCCACCCGGGCGCACCTGGCCTGCGGAGTCGGAGTGCCTGTGCGGGAATTCGTGGTCTAACTGGGAGACTCCTCCCGAGTACAAACACTATGTGGGGGGGGCGGGGGGTCTTCCCCTTTATTGACGCTCGCTTACAATGACTGTGACAGTGATTCTGTCATGCCTTCGCTGTCTGCTGGTGTTCTGACGTTGGTTGCTCTGAGCGGGAAACCCGCTGTGCCTGACTGTTGCACCTGTGCCCTACTTCTGTCCTGATGACACTGCGTTGTTTCCTGATGTGCATGAACAGCGGCAAGGACCCAGGCGGATGGTCATGCCTGGATCAGGCGTGCCTTGCTGTCTGCCAGCCTGCTGAGAAATGTGGGCAGGAGGGGCAGCATTCTTAAACTGAGGGTTTCCACCCTCTTTTTTCGGGGTTCCTTTGAATCTCACCAAGTAACCCCCAAATGTGAGTCCTTTGACACCACTTCCATTTGCAAACAACCGTTATTGAACAGAGTGTTTGCACGCAGCAAGGCACGCCCGCCGCATCCCTGGGACCTCCATCTGTAGTGCGCCCAAGGAAGGTAGGATTGTGATGCTCAACACAGTGGGCGCTCAATAAATGTTTGTTGAATTGAGATGCATTAAATTCAACGGGTCTTTATTGAGCACCCACTCTGTGCCAGACGCTGTGCGGGGCGCCGAGGGGGAAACCAAGAAGACAGGAGAAACGTGTCCCAGAGAAACGTGCAGGGCACTGGGAGAGGCAGAGACGCCGTTGGGAGCAAGCGCACACACATCCCGCCGCTGCCGCGTGGGGTCGTCCGAGGGCTCACGGGGGCCGGTCACAACCTCATCCCACTCGTGACACCATCAGCACATCTCACCTGGGACTGAATTCATCACTCAGTCATCCATCCATCCCTCCACCAAACATTTACTGAGCACCTACTATGTGCTGGACATGGTGCAAGGCAGCGGAGAGGCGGTGGTGAATATGGCCCAGTCCCCATTCGCCAGCAGGGAGGCAGACGACTGAGCAGCAATGACAAATGGGTGTGGTATCTCTCTCCTCTATGGCAGTGGTTCTCAGCCAGCACTGCCAACCCCTCCAAAGAGGGCCTTGTATTGAAATACATATTGTATGATGGACTACTGTTACTTCCCTTTATACTACACATAAGGCATTATCCGGACTATGCGTGTAGTAGGTTATATCATCCATGAACCTGATTTCTGCACAGGAAAGGGATGGTGCTGATTTTTCATCCTGAGAAGAGAGTCTTGAGTCTTATAGGATGACGCTCACTGCCCCCAGAAGAACACGAGGTGGGGTGGGGCCCCCTGCCCTGGCCTGGACCCTGTGGACAGGCCTGCTGCTGTTCTGCGTCCCACCGTTCTCACCCTTTAGGTCCTGTCCTCTCTTTTGAGGTCCCCCATGTCCCCTTCCAGGTGGTCAGAGGTATGTCAGCATAAGACAAACCCCCTGGCCGGCTGGAGCCCCCCAGAGGACTCAGTGACCCCTAGAAAGGACCCTACACTTCCGAAGGGAATAAGGCCATTTCCTGAAATCCCAGAGTGTGAGAGGAGTGTGCGGGAGTGGTTTGGAGATCAGGGTGAGAAAAGCACTGCATCAGAAACCGAGGCAGCACAGATGGGTGGTCCCAGTGTGTCCCCAGCCCCGCCTGTGGCTTTGGCATCGTATGTCGCCTTCTGTGCATCTCTCTCCATGGAGCCCTGTGTTGGATGGGACATGCCCGTCTTCGCCTGTTGCCCACCCCTGCTCAGGACCTGGTGGGGGGCCGGGATCGGAGGTTGCGTCCCTGGGTCCCTCCCAGGGCCCCCCCGGGTGTGAGGGTTCCATTTTCCTTTCCCGGCCAGCAGGAGGCAAGCGGTTTGAGGCTTGGTCAGAAGTGGCCTTTCTCCTGTCCCCTGTTATTTATTCCTCTGGAGTTTCAAGGTGAGAACAAATCGTTCTCACCTTTCCTAGTCCACGCTTGGAAAAGGCACCTGATTCGCTGTCTGCCGATCTCGTGAGACTGTCGGGCAGGGCGGGCAGCACACAGGGTGGGCATTGTGACCTGCGGACCCCAGGGTGGAGTCTGCAGCTATTGCGCTGCCAGAGCGTCGGTGCTGTGTGCTGGTTTCACGATGGGCAAGGTGAGCCCAGAGAGAGGGCGTGCCCTGCCCAACCTTCGGCAAACACTTCGTGAGCACCTTCTCTATTCCGGCACTGTTCCAGGGGCTGGGGTAGAGCAGAGGCCCAAACAGACAACATCCCTGCCCTGAGGGGCTGGCGTTCCGGTGGGAGTGGGGACACAGACAAAACAGTTGAAAAGTAAGTTATGCTGGTGCCGTGCGGGTCGGGGGGCTAGGAGGTGCTGGGGCGGTCAGGGAAGGAAGAGGACCTCTGAGGGAGACTTGAGGGAAGGCGGTAGGAGGACTGCCGTCACCCAGGGCGGGGGAGGGCGTCATGGGGGGCTGTCCTGGGGGAGTGTGTCCTGGGGAACATAGGCTGGGGCGTGTGTCTTCTGGGAGTGTCCTTGGGGGTGTCCCGGGGGAGGGTGCTCTAAGCAGCACAAACAGCGTGTACAGAAGTTCGGAGGCAGGAAGCGGGGCGGCTGTTGAGAAACAGGAGGCCAGTGGGGTGGCGAGAGAGGGCCTGTGCGCGATGCTGGGAAGCTGCTTCTCTGTCCGCCGGGGAACGGGTCAGCACGGGGGCTGTGCGCAGCGGGGCAAGGCTGGCCGTTTTACATGTTTAAAGCATGGACAGGCGGCTTCGCAGAGGGGAGGCTGGAGGCTGCCGGGCCAGGGCGAAAGGGATTGGGGTGTCCAGATAAGCAACAGGGAAGCCCGAGGGTCCTCAGCTCCAGAGGGGCCTGGGGTCGTGGGAGTGGGTCACCCG